TTTGCACCACCAGCATTCCATCTCCAAAACCCCCAAAATTCCCAGCCTTGGTCGACCATTTTAATATTAAATTATAATAAATAACTATTTCAACCTTCAACCGTTAAAAGAAAAGAATGGTATTAATTTAAGGGTGAGAATCTAGAGTATATGAAACTAAGGGTAGAAACTTGCTATTAGCATGGTGTTTGCTCAACAATGAAAATATATAATTAATTCTTACCTACAGGCTACCACTGATCTGCAACCAGATTGAGTGTAATGAGACGCGGCAAAGTCGCTTCGCATTTGTTGAATTTTATGTATTCCAATTTAACTTTCGCCAGGCCCCTCCTCTTTGCCCAACTCCAGGTTGGACCATTGGGGGGTTTAAGTGCCATCTTGGAATTTCAATTTCAACATAACATATTCATCAAGGGGAAAGTTAGAACTTTTTAACATAATTTATTAAATTTGGAGTTTTGTATGCAAGTTGGATGAAATATGACGACATTCTGTTTGTGTTGATAGAATGACAACATAATGACTTGAAAGGATATCTAAAATCCTTATATAAGGGGAAGCAACATAAGAAAAATGAAAACATCGTTGAGTTTCATGCTGCTGGTTACATACAACAGATTGTAAACCCCAGAGGAGTGCCACCTGAGAACACAGATTCATTAATTGGCTTTGACTGCTATTGCTGCAACTATATATGTATATATACATATATACAGATCAGAAAGATGGCTAGTTAATGTTGTTTGTGTTCTCAGGTCACCCCTTTGGGGCACCCTGTTTTGTTCATCTTCATCTTCATCATCACAATTCAACTCTACTCTCAACTAATGATCTCACTCTACAACTGCAAACTGCTATTTTTAATTTATTGTTTATGAAAAAAACGCCTAACTCACTTTCTCTTCTGTTTCAAGGAATTTAATGCAGATACAGTCTCATGACAAGAGAAGTGTAAAAAGCCTCCCATCAGAACTCAACACATTATCGCAATTTGGTCTTCAAGCTAATCAGTGGCAATTTTCCTTAATTCTTTGTAAATTTTAATGATTTATCAGCTGAGACAAAAAAAAAGAAATTTACCACTCAGAATGACAACATTGTTGACTTTAATAATGTATGCTTTATAGAAGGAAAATATTACAAATTCTCTAATATTAATCTTTATTTTTTAAAATTTTAATTAAAAAAATATTCAAAAGCATGGTAAAAATCGACTTATCTGGCAACATATTTTTTTTTGGTGACCTAGCGAAAGACCGGATAAATCCGGACGGGTAAATCCTTTCAATAGTCATGTTTGGGAGACTCAGGAATTCATGTTAGACTTTTTACTACCAGACTACTAGTCATGGTTATTCACATCAACATTGCTCCACAAATAACCTAACGAACTGCACGAAATTAGAAATCGGATACAGCCTACCCACCGCATCGTAACTCATGTACTCCATTCCCCCATCGGCTAAATTAATCAAAATTCAAAATCACAAAACCCCACAATCTTGAAGTTGAACGACCTCGCTAAAACCCTAAATCTTTGCAATCCACCAGAAGAATCGATCCGTTAACATGGANCTGTCCAGCAGCTTCCCCGTGGGTTTCAACACCTCTTCGCCCCGGCGAAGCCTGGAACACTAAACTCCTTCTATTTTCAACCAATTTCAAGGCAAGTATTCAACATACCACTCAATCAAAGGCCAACCAAACAATAATACTAATAAACCGGCTCAAATAAGAGCAAAAGAAGAAACATTAGCTACATACCTCAAGTGGGGCGTCACACAAAGTCACCCCACCAAAGCCCCCAACCTCCCCTACCACAATTGCACGTCGACCAGTGTCGCCAACTCCTTAGGGTTTCACGCAATTATCGCGTCTCCCCAACAAAATTTTGGCTGCTCCTGTCATTGAAAATCTCTCTCTCCTCCCCCCCCCCCCCCCCCCCCCCCCCCCCCCCCCCCCCCCCCCCCCCCCCCCCCCCTTTTGCACCACCAGCATTCCCTTTCCAAAACCCCCAAAATTCCCAGCCTTGGTCGACCGTTGTTTACTGGCCGCCTCTTCCTTTAGGGTTTTGCAATTTTGGTGAATTTTGGGATTGATTGGTGTTTGTTTCAGAGGTTTTTGAAAAGAGATTGAGATTTGTAGTTGTTTGGAAGTTGATTTTGATTGATTTGGAAGTGTTTGTGTTGATTTTTCTGGGTTTTTGGATTAATCCCGGCTTTGGTGATTGAAGTTTTAGTAAGGAAATCACGCAGCGGAGGAGGTCATGGGTGGTTGTGCAGTTGGGCCAAATTTTGGTCAAACGGGGGCTGGGGGAGCGATTCCTATCAGGTTTGGTGGATTTTTCGGCAAGAAAGCAACCAAAATGGGCAGGGATGATGTGAGGGTTGAAGAAGAGGGTAGAGGTCGAGGTGGAAAGGATGTGGAGAGAAATTTGAGATGTAAGGGTTATTTGTAATTTTAATATCAAATTATAGTAAAAGATTATTTTAACCTTCAACCGTTAAAAGAAACGAAATAATGTTAATTTAAGGGTGAGAATCTATAATATATGAAATTAGGGGTAAAAGTTTGCTATTTCGCTAATTTGTGGGTGGGAGTGGCGTTTGCTCAACAGTGAAAATATATAATTAATTCTTAGCTACCACTGATCTGCAAGACTGAGTGTAATGAGACGCAGCAAAGTCGCTTCGCATTTGTTGAATTTTATGTATCCCAATTTAACTTTCGCCAGCTCCCTCCTCTTTGCCCAACTCCAGGTTGGACCATTGGGGGGTTTAAGTGCCATCTTGGAATTTCAATTTCAACATAACATATTCATCAAGGGGAAAGTTAGAACTTTTTAACATAATTTATTAAATTTGGAGTTTTGTATGCAAGTTGGATGAAATATGACGACATTCTGTTTGTGTTGATAGAATGACAACATAATGACTTGAAAGGATATCTAAAATCCTTATATAAGGGGAAGCAACATAAGAAAAATGAAAACATCGTTGAGTTTCATGCTGCTGGTTACATACAACAGATTGTAAACCCCAGAGGAGTGCCACCTGAGAACACAGATTCATTAATTGGCTTTGAATGCTATTGCTGCAACTATATATGTATATATACATATATACAGATCAGAAAGATGGCTAGTTAATGTTGTTTGTGTTCTCAGGTCACCCCTTTGGGGCACCCTGTTTTGTTCATCTTCATCTTCATCATCACAATTCAACTCTACTCTCAACTAATGATCTCACTCTACAACTGCAAACTGCTATTTTTAATTTATTGTTTATGAAAAAAACGCCTAACTCACTTTCTCTTCTGTTTCAAGGAATTTAATGCAGATACAGTCTCATGACAAGAGAAGTGTAAAAAGCCTCCCATCAGAACTCAACACATTATCGCAATTTGGTCTTCAAGCTAATCAGTGGCAATTTTCCTTAATTCTTTGTAAATTTTAATGATTTATCAGCTGAGACAAAAAAAAAGAAATTTACCACTCAGAATGACAACATTGTTGACTTTAATAATGTATGCTTTATAGAAGGAAAATATTACAAATTCTCTAATATTAATCTTTATTTTTTAAAATTTTAATTAAAAAAATATTCAAAAGCATGGTAAAAATCGACTTATCTGGCAACATATTTTTTTTTGGTGACCTAGCGAAAGACCGGATAAATCCGGACGGGTAAATCCTTTCAATAGTCATGTTTGGGAGACTCAGGAATTCATGTTAGACTTTTTACTACCAGACTACTAGTCATGGTTATTCACATCAACATTGCTCCACAAATAACCTAACGAACTGCACGAAATTAGAAATCGGATACAGCCTACCCACCGCATCGTAACTCATGTACTCCATTCCCCCATCGGCTAAATTAATCAAAATTCAAAATCACAAAACCCCACAATCTTGAAGTTGAACGACCTCGCTAAAACCCTAAATCTTTGCAATCCACCAGAAGAATCGATCCGTTAACATGGACATGGNGCAAAGTCGCTTCGCATTTGTTGAATTTTATGTATTCCAATTTAACTTTCGCCAGGCCCCTCCTCTTTGCCCAACTCCAGGTTGGACCATTGGGGGGTTTAAGTGCCATCTTGGAATTTCAATTTCAACATAACATATTCATCAAGGGGAAAGTTAGAACTTTTTAACATAATTTATTAAATTTGGAGTTTTGTATGCAAGTTGGATGAAATATGACGACATTCTGTTTGTGTTGATAGAATGACAACATAATGACTTGAAAGGATATCTAAAATCCTTATATAAGGGGAAGCAACATAAGAAAAATGAAAACATCGTTGAGTTTCATGCTGCTGGTTACATACAACAGATTGTAAACCCCAGAGGAGTGCCACCTGAGAACACAGATTCATTAATTGGCTTTGACTGCTATTGCTGCAACTATATATGTATATATACATATATACAGACCAGAAAGATGGCTAGTTAATGTTGTTTGTGTTCTCAGGTCACCCCTTTGGGGCACCCTGTTTTGTTCATCTTCATCTTCATCATCACAATTCAACTCTACTCTCAACTAATGATCTCACTCTACAACTGCAAACTGCTATTTTTAATTTATTGTTTATGAAAAAAACGCCTAACTCACTTTCTCTTCTGTTTCAGGGAATTTAATGCAGATACAGTCTCATGACAAGAGAAGTGTAAAAAGCCTCCCATCAGAACTCACCACATTATCGCAATTTGGTCTTCAAGCTAATCAGTGGCAATTTTCCTTTATTCTTTGTAAATTTTAATGATTTATCAGCTGAGACAAAAAAAAAGAAATTTACCACTCAGAATGACAACATTGTTGACTTTAATAATGTATGCTTTATAGAAGGAAAATATTACAAATTCTCTAATATTAATCTTTATTTTTTAAAATTTTAATTAAAAAAATATTCAAAAGCATGGTAAAAATCGACTTATCTGGCAACATATTTTTTTTTGGTGACCTAGCGAAAGACCGGATAAATCCGGACGGGTAAATCCTTTCAATAGTCATGTTTGGGAGACTCAGGAATTCATGTTAGACTTTTTACTACCAGACTACTAGTCATGGTTATTCACATCAACATTGCTCCACAAATAACCTAACGAACTGCACGAAATTAGAAACCGGATACAACCTACCCACCGCATCGTAACTCATGTACTCCATTCCCCCATCGGCTAAATTAATCAAAATTCAAAATCACAAAACCCCACAATCTTGAAGTTGAACGACCTCGCTAAAACCCTAAATCTTTGCAATCCACCAGAAGAATCGATCCGTTAACATGGACATGGATCCTCCGAAACGAGAAGGAGACCGACCCATCAAAGACAAAGATCTCTTTAAAGCCGCAGAAACTGGAGATTCATCAACATTCGAATCACTCTCACCGCACAACACCTCTCCAAATCTCTATCTTTAAGAAACGAAGATAGTCGCTCCCTCCTCCACGTCGCCGTCTCTTCCCGTCGCCCCGAGGTCCGCTATTCATTGCTTTCCTTCTCCTCTCCTCGATTTTCTCTTCCACTTTGTTTGGTTGTTGAGAAAACGAGGGAAAATTATGATTTTTTTTTATTTTATTTTTTTTATCAGGTGGTGAAAATACTCTCAAATGTTGATGAGTCGGCTAAGGTGATCAACTCTGCAGATGAAGAAGGGTGGGCTCCCATTCATTCGGCGGCTAGCATTGGTAATACGGAAATTGTGGAAATTTTGCTGAGCGAAGGTTAGAAACTTCATACTTATCTTCAAATAGCTTGTAATGTGGTGATGTTGATGGGTTGTTTGTGATTGTCTTTTTTACGCTTGAATGGTTTTTTAGTGAAATATTTATTGGGTTGTTTAGATCATGTCGTCGACTGTTAAATCAGTAATTTATCACATAAAAAGTTCTGATTTATGCTCCGGGACTGATTATGAGCAGGAGCTGATGTTAATTTGAAGAATGATGGTGGGCGTACTGCTCTTCATTATGCTGCCAGCAAGGGATGGTTAAAGATTGCTGAACTTCTGATCACGCACGGTGCAAAAATTAATTCAAAGGACAAGGCTTGTAACTTCCCCTATTAGTTTATCATCTCATAGGAATGTTTTGGTTTCATTTACCTAGACATGCTAAGAAGTTTCTGTTTTATTTTTAATAATTGAATACCTTAAACACTTTGTATTCAGGTTGGTTGTACCCCATTGCACAGGGCAGCTAGCTTGGGGAATCCAGAGTTGTGTGAATTCTTAATTGAGGAAGGGGCAGAGGTTGATGCTACTGATAAAGCTGGTCAAACTCCACTTATGAATGCAGTGATTTGCGAAAACAAAGAGGTAAATCTTTTGTTAGAATTACTCGAGAATCAGATGCTCACAGGATTATCTCAGTGGCTTCTTTCCCACTGAAGTGTATTGTACTTGACCTATGTTGTGATTGGCCCCCTAATTAGTCCACAATTGATTAGTTTTTTCTTAATCTATTGTGCAATTTGCAAGATATCATTTAAATCTTGTTGATATTTTTTGTTTCTGGATTACAGGTAGCTCTGCTTCTAGTAAGACATGGAGCAGATGTCGATATGCAAGACAATGAAGGGTTCACTGTGCTTGGTCGGGCGTCAAGTGATTTTAGACCAATATTGCTTGATGCTGCTAAAGCTATGCTTGAAGGATGAATTCTTAGAGTTTGTAATAGAATTAGATGGTGTTGTGAGTGATAAGTGGCTGATTGTGCTTCCTTGCTGAAGGAATGCTTTGTTAGGACTGAGCAATGTTGGGGGGTAAAAACAATGATATGAATGTCGCCATTCAACTTCAGCTATTGCCCAACCTCTTAAGAATGGATGTGGGACTTTATTTTCATTTATTTTGTCAAAGTCTATGCTGTTGTCTACTCTATTTTATTCCCTTTCCCTAAGCGGGTCTTTGAGGCTAACACAGCTTAAGCCTAAACATCTAGATTTAATACATGCAAGAAGGCAGCATACATTGTGGTGTGGAATTATCAATAAACAGGAAAGAAGAAAGAAAATGTGTGCCCTTAAACAGTCTGTTTGATGGTCTTGGAATGATGATCCTGGAAGTTTTACCTGTTGGATTTGAGTCTTAGCTTGAAACCTCTCAGATGAGAGGTGGTCTTCTAGATTTTTGAAGACAACAATCATGTCGTAGTGTTAAGAGCATTCTAGTTAAGTTTGCAAAGTCAAGGCTTGATATGAATTTTTTTTTAACTATGAGTACGTGTAGTTTTTGGTGATTTGGGGTCTGGATTGTAGTTAGTTTTGAATTGTTGTGTTAAAATTGCAATGGTCTTAATTTTTAGGAAAATGATAGAGTTATCTAAAAGTTTATATCGAATTTGTGCACCGAATGACGTAGCAAAATCCTGACCGTTGATTAATATTAACTGATAATAAATCAACGGTCAGGATTTTGTTACGTCATTTGGTGCACAAATTTGGTGCACACCCGTTGTTGATAACTGTAGCATTACTCTAATTTTTATTGGGACAGTTGCAATGTCGGTGTTGACATTTGTGACTTGATTAACATATTGCTTCCCTCTTCAGCTGCCTGTGGCATCTGTTCAAAATTTCGCATTCATTTTTGGCTGTTTTAGACTTCCGTCATTGTCTGCACTGTGTGGTTTGTGAATAATTTTCTGCGCGTGTGGGGACAAAGAGGGAAAAAGGAGGCCCACACCCAGTAGCTAACAAAACAACCTAATGGTCCTAAAGCTGGAAGATACATTCTTGGAATAACAGATAGAAGAGAGGGTGACACAGTAACTCTTTCTTCTCTATTTTCTCTCATCCAAGTTCCCTAGCCATTTTTAGGCATCAAGAAAGATGTCAACTTCGGATGAACTCAACTCCTATCCACATGTAGCTATCCTCCCAAGCTCTGGTATGGGACATTTGATGCCCTTTCTTCGACTAGCTGCAACACTAGTTCAACATCACTGCCGTGTCACTTTAATTACGATCTACCCGACTGTCTCAGTTGCAGAGTCTAAAGTTATATCTCGTCTCTTCTCTGCTTTTCCTCAGATAACTGAAAAGCAGTTTCATCTCCTTCCTTTTGATCCCACTTCAGCCACTTCTGTTGACCCTTTTTATCTCCAGTGGGAAGCCATTCGTCGTTCATCTCACCTTCTCACTGCTCTCCTCTCATCAATATCCCCTCCTCTCTCTGCCCTTGTCTTGGATGTTACCTTGACTTCCTCTGTTCTTCCAGTTACCACAAACATAGGTCTACCTAATTACATCATGTTCACATCATCGGCGAGAATGTGTTCTTTCTGCGAGTCTTTTCCCCCTTATGTTGCATCGAAAACCAGTTCTGGTTCTGTTCAATTCGATGACGTTTTTGAAATTCCAGGCCTTTCTCCAATTCCCATTTCATCAATCCCTCCGGCATTACTAAATTTAAATAATCTCTTTAGTACTACGTTCATACAAAACGGTCAGAGCTTCGCCAAATCAAGTGGGATTATAATTAACTCATTTGAAGCACTAGAAGCCGACATTCTACATGGGGTTAATGGCAAAAGAGCTGCAGATGGGCTTCCACCCTTCTATGGCATCGGACCACTTTTGCCATGCGAATTTGAGAAAATAGAGTGCAGTGCGCCTGTGAAGTGGCTTGATGACCAACCAGAGGGGTCGGTCGTGTATGTTAGTTTTGGCAGTAGGTCCGCCTTGTCAAGTGAACAAATAAAGGAGCTTGGAGATGGCTTAGTAAGGAGTGGGTGTAGATTTATTTGGGTGGTGAAATGTAAGAAAGTCGACAAGGAGGATGACGAAAGTTTGGATAATTTGCTGGGTCATGAGCTCATGGAGAGGATTAAGAATCATGGGTTGGTGACAAAGGAGTGGGTAAATCAACAAGAGATACTGGGTCACAGGGGTGTTGGCGGGTTTGTTACTCATGGTGGATGGAACTCATTGGTGGAGGCTGCGTGGGACGGAGTACCAATGTTAGTATGGCCACAAGCTGGGGATCAGAAGATCAATGCAGAGGTAATTGAGAGAAGTGGGTTGGGAATGTGGGTCAAGAGGTGGGGCTGGGGTACAGAGCAGTTGGTGAAAGGAGAGGATATCGGAGAAAGAATTAAAGATTTGATGGGGAACGACCAGTGGAGAGTGGGAGCTAAAAATATTAGAGAAGAAGCAAGAAAAGCTGTTGGATTTGGTGGCAGTTCTGAGAGGATGTTGGAGGAGCTTATGGAGGAATGGAAGAAGAATAGTAGCATAATATGATGGTTGATGACTCCATGGTTTGGCACCTAGGCTAGCAGTAGCAGCCCACTTTATCACTAATTTGTTGTTCTTCTCTGTTGTTAATTAAGTAATGTTGAGCATTGTTTGATGTGTAATAAGCTTCATGAAAACGAAATAAAATCAGCGATTGTAACCTTATTGTTTTAGTAAAGCAAATCCTGGTGATTAATATGTAATACTACTTAAGTGTAGCCCAATAACAGAATGCCACGAGTGCATTTTTATCATATTTTTGTTGACCGTTTGTTTTTCCCTCCAACCATCCATGGTTTCCTCCGCATGGTCGGCTCTCTCTTTTACCAATTACATACGCCGCGAAGATCCACTGTGGCTGCAACTTGCCAGTGGGCGCAAATGAAAATGAATTCTCCGTAAAGTTCATATCAGCACGCATAAGGAGAGGACCATGTTTATACCCTAATTGCTATTTGCTACAAATCTATCCAATTCTCTGCTGCAATTAACAGTACTTATATTAAAGGGCAAAAAACAAATTTATCCCCTGTACTTGAGTAAACGACTTTTTCCCACCGAAAAATGGCATAATAACACTTTCTCACCTTCATACTTTNAAATTTTAGTAGATTAATTATTGTGAAATTAAAAAATTAAATCTAAAATAATAAATAAGATTTAATATAAAATGTGAAATTTATAACAGTAATATATTTAACCACAACAATTTTAACTATATTTTCTTTAAAAAGCAGATTTAAATCTTTAGGTAATGAAACGGAGTGTGGACAGGTCACAGCCATCAAAATTTTGTAACCCTAGAATCACTCGTAATCTTTTTCTTTAACACCCCTGACCATCCTCGTTTTCCGTTTTTATTCCAAACCGTAGGCTCGTTACCGAACCTTAGGTTCGGAATCATCACAGATTTATACGGCTGAGATTTCTTCGCCTAGTTACACTCAAAACGTCACGCTCGAAGCTGAAACGTATCTCTCGTTCACGCTCTCTCTAGAATCTAGTCGATTTGATTGGTACTGTCTAAGCGGAGATCTATGGCGGAGCACGCGGCGGAGCACGATTCTCTTATGGAGAAGATCGCCGATAAGATCCAAGGTCACGATTCCTCCTCCTCCGACTCCGATGACGACAAGCCGTCGCCTGTCGAAACTGTTACGAACAAGATTTACAGGCTCTTCGGCAGAGAGAAACCTGTTCACAAGGTTCTTGGCGGTGGAAAACGTACTCTCTTAAACTCTGTCTCTCTTTGTTTCAATAGATGTGAATATTTGATACAATGATTGGTTTTTTTTTTTTCTTTTGTTGTGAAAATGGAGGATCTGATTTAAGTATATTAATTCATTTTTATTGAAACAGAATCGGGGGCTAGATTTATACGATTAGATAATAAAGCTACGAGTTTTACGATTAAGATTTGGTACGATTATCTATGTATGTTGCAATTAGGGCTTGTGTATTCTTGTGGGAGGGGATCTTATACGTGTCCCACGTTATTCCTGGAAAATGAACGGTTCAGATTTCATTGTTGCAGGGAGTTTAGATTCAATTGCACAGGGGATATGAACCCACTGTGTCACTTCATGATTATGTGGTTCGTAATAAGAAAAATCACCTTTGATTTTTCCAAATGGAAAGGTTGAAGTGATTTAGCTGATTTATTTGGCAATGCCGCTTCATATGTTGTTCCCAGTAAGTCTTACTTCACAGTGATGTTATCATCACAATGAAGGAGATGGCATTAGAAATTGAAAACTTTGATTTGTCTGTATATCATTATTTAACCGTATATGAGTATTGCAGAACTCTTTAGCATGGATATGTGGAGTTCGCGTCTTGTAGTCCAAGACATGGCTAAATTAACATGTTAACTTGTTTCTGTGTCACACATTTTCCAGCTTTTGGTTGGGCTCTCAAGTCTATGGATGAAGTTGTCTTATATCATCGATTTTTAATCAATCAGGCATCCTAGTAATGCCTATTTTTTAACATATTATGAGCATACTTCTATTTTTCGAAATATAGTCTTCCAATTAGTTGAATTATGTTGCAATGTTTCTTCTTATGAATATTTTGAATATGAATTTTTTTGAAAACAACCTCCTTTGTTAGAAAATCGTGTATTGGATTTCTATTTGTTCTTTCCAAAATCAAACCTAGGGGAAAGGTTGTGCTGAAAGTTATGGTCTACTCACAAATGCACCCATGCAATTGTACACAATATATTTTTTCATCAATTATAATTCTCATGTCGTCAATCTTTTGTTACAGCTGCTGATGTTTTTCTATGGAGGAACAAGAAAATCTCTGCAGGTGTGCTTGGTGGTGCCACTGCTATGTGGATTCTCTTTGAATTACTTGAATACCACTTACTTACACTGGTCTGCCATATATTGATACTTGCTCTTGCTGTCCTTTTCTTGTGGTCCAATGCATCCAGGTTTATCAACAAGTAAGGTGTTGGGTATTTGCCCTATCATTAAATGTCTTTTGAATTCTATTAAGCCTTAAATTTCTCCTTTCTTTGAAATAGGTCACCTCCTCAGATTCCAGATGTTAAAATCCATGAAAAGCATGTCGTGGATGTTGCTTCTGCTCTGACATATGAAATTAACCGAGGCTTGGCTGTCCTGCGAGATATTGCATCTGGGAGAGAGTTGAAGAAATTTCTTGGTGTATGTTGCTTTAACAGCTCTACTGTTTTAGACATTAACTTCATGGTTGCAAGTGGTTGCAAGTGCTTGCATTTGTTGCTTGAGTTTTATTTGATTCACAGCAAAGTCCGGTGGCAACAAAAGCATACTTGGCAATAAACTTTACTATTTAACTCCATAGGCCACCACCCTAAGTATATGGTAAATTGATAACTACTGCATTGTTTTTTTATGCAATTGACATATTTCTGTTCTTTTGTTAATTAGGTCATTGCTGGTTTGTGGGTTATGTCAATCGTGGGTAGTTGGTGCAACTTCCTGACCTTGTTCTACATATGTAAGTGATCCGTTCATTATTTTTGCTTCTTTTTTTTCTCTTTTATAAAAGGAAGATGCTATTTTCTGCCTATTCTTTGGATTTTGAATTTGATTGTTGGAAACAGCCTTTGTTTTGCTCCACACCGTGCCTGTGATTTATGAGAAATACGAGGACAAGATTGATCCATTTGCTGAGAAGGCACTAATTGAGATCAAGAAGCAATACGCTGTGTTCGATGAAAAGGTTTTGAGGAAAGTTTTGAGTAAAATTCCCAAGGGTGCATTGAAGGACAAGAAGAAGGAATAGACAGACACATGAGTGGATCAAGGTTTTGACAAAATTTGGTGTTGTAGTTTATCATCCATTAGAATCTTTGGTTTCCTTTTTTATGTTTTAAAATAGCGTTTGAGTGCACACAATTAAACCAAATAAATATGTTATTGCAATGATTTTTAAATTTTCTTTCTGGGATTATTTATTGTTGTCATTTTTTTTATTTAGAGGATTGTCTTTGATGAACAATGTCCTCTATTAGGGTGTTGCAAATTTTATTGCTTTTTCTTTATATGAATTTAGTAGAGAACTAATTTTGCTTATCATATGCACAAGACTTTAACCTTAACTAATAATTTCGACATGAGAGCAAGACTCGAGAGTTGGTGTTTGATTATTTGCCCATTTGGTCATCATGTCGTACATCAAGTCGATTGCTATTCTTGACTTGATTTATTATAATTCCATCTACTATTCAAATGGCAAATGATCGGCTATCTGAATAGATATATTTTCTTTTATAAAATACTTGATAATAAATGTGGTACCAAAGAATTTGATAGTGTTATTCTACTGTGCATAGATAATTAAATGCAGTGCAGTCACTAACTGCAACCATGGTGTGGCAGTTGGAAGCCTTAGTTGCCTTCTCCGTGTGACCTTAAGTATACATTAGTACAAGGACTTAAATATACTCATTATTTAGACTTGCATTTTATAGAATAAATAATGCTATGTTTACTTATGATCTTTGTAAATATAAAGCATAGTAAAGGTATTATAAACATAGTACGGGTATCATATGTAATTTTAACAAAGGTGAGTAAGATGGTTAGTAAATTTGTGAGTAAGTATAATATTATTGGAGAATATTAATGGTGAAAAGAAAATGATGCAATGAAGAATGAACCAGCTTTATTAGGATTTTCTTGGCTTTTACACTGTTCATTAATTGGACAGGCCGGCCCATAACCGATTATCTGGACCCTTATAATGGGAAGCATAGTTTCTCTATTTTGGAGCCCAAAAGATGATAACTTTGTATCGCATTGTTGGGGCTTAAATTTGAGGTCTCATAGTCATACCCACTAACTCACCATTGTAAATAAAGCTTGAGATAATCAGATTCATCTAAATCTATTCTCTTTTTCAAAAGGTTGGACAAACATCCAACAAGTCAACAATAACTAAAGCTTAAAGCTAAGGTTCTTTACCAAAGCGAAGGTGGGGATTTATATCTCTTTCACGCATTAGCATGGTGGTTGTTTTGTCGATTAACCAAAGGCAAACACTATTTGTTTTGTCATCATGTTAAAACTGTTTAATAACACTATCAAATTCTTTCCTACCAAGCATAAAGACCCCACCCCTTCACAAAATTCTTTTGAGGAATTATTTGACCACCCTCCCCTACATTTCTGATTACTTTTTATACAATATCTACACCTAACAATACACAAGCCACCTGCAGCCCTTTGGGTCTCACCCAAAGAACTAAGTACAAATTTAAAAGTCTAAATAGTTGCCTAGTGAAAGGGAAAGAGAATTTCGATTCATACTGTAATATGATTATATTCACCTGATATGACTACAACAAATTTTTGAATTGATCTTGGTGGGGATCTTCAGTTTCTCCTTGTAAAGACAAACCAAACCCACATCATCATTTCTCAATTTCGGATTTTTTTTTTCAAGTTTATTGTCCATCAAAATAATATAAAAAAGAAAAGTCTGCTTGAGGTGGAGTTGGAGGGAGAGGACGTCAATAAATTTTTTTTTTTTTTTTTAAGTTTATTGTCCATCAAAGTAATATAAAAAAGAAAAGTCTGCTTGAGGTGGAGTTGGAGGGAGAGGACGTCAATAAAATTAAGCTGTGTGTAGACGTGCATGCCATAAACATGAGAGAATTAGAAATTATTAGGCAATTAGAATTGTTTATGATGAGAAATGTTGTGATAATCATGAGATTTTTATCCATTTAAAAAGAAAAAGAAAGTAATCATAAAACTTTGCTGGAATAATAAGTGATGAATGCAATGTATTATAGCTTGCAAATCTGAAGCTAGAAGAAAAAGAAGCAATAACATGAAAGCTTGGAGGCTTATTTTTTACTTTTTTAATACCCAAAGGAATTCAATTTATTAAGGTCAAATTAAACAATTGATGAGTTAACTTAATACAAATGGTTAAAAGAAAAAACACCCTAAAAAGATGATATTACATTCAAATGTAGATTTAAGTTGCAAGTTTATCTCAGATAACAAATTATAAACTAGGATCGATGAAGATGTATAGATCTTTGACGACTATAAAGTTATATTTTACGGGAGATTCATACGATACTATTTTCACAATTGCACATTTTCGCTACATCAATAACTCATTTCCTTTTTCCTTTTACTAAGTTTACTAGAGTAAACCCATTTGCACAATGTCCAACTTCCATCTCAAATCTAACTCATATGTAAAAGAAAACCCTTTCTGATTAGGGTTTTAAAGATTTATTCGAAAAAATATTGTGAACCCTTTGAATTAAAATTAAAAGGGTTATTCCCTTATAAACAAATGCAATATTATGAGTTGGTCAAAAGGAAGCTGACCTAAAAGAAACCATGTCTTTGTATTAAAGATTTGCCCATCTCTCATGCAATAATGGGTCCTTCACCAAAAAAGAAAGCACATTTAAGGACTCTCATCTAGATGAATAAAGGATATTATTCACAATCTTTATCAAATAAATCCAATTCTTGAAAGGAATAATTGTATAACTTTAATATGATTAGATCTTAAATTCAAATTATCATTATTATTTGTTATTTGTTATTCAAATGCCAAAGGAATAAGGATAAAGAACTTTCCCAAATGAAAAAATAGGGACCATTTTGAAAAGTAAAAAAAAGAATAAGGGAAAATATCAAAACACGCCCATCTTTTTTTATCTTTACAAGTCAAACCTTTTATGGGAAGGGCAGGAGAGTGATGCTGATGCAGCGTGAGGCAATTCTTTTCCTTGCCTTGTTTAAATCAAAATTCATTCTGACTTGGCAGATCTTTTAAGGCCTCTGTCACAAAAAGTTAAAGTTTTTCATCTCTATATACAACGCTCTTACGTTTCCTTTTCTTTTCTTTTTGGCCTTTTTCTCTTTCATTTTTCCTTTTCTTTTTCTTTTTTTTTCATTTTTTAACCTCTTTTTGGAAGTTTCCCATCACTCTCCTCAGTCCTCTCATCTCTTTTATACCCAAAAATAATAAATAAAAATATAACTCAGATTTCTCCATTGATCACTTTCTTATTTACTTCTGTTCCACGCGCTTGCTTGATAATTTCTTAGTCAATATAAATTTATTTAATCAAATCCTAAGTCCACTTACAAAAAGTAAACTACCAACCAGTTTCGTAACCCAGCCGGCGTCCAAGACTAATTTTGTATTTATAATACTTTGACTTGGAAATTCTTAAACATGCATGATTCACATTCTATTAGATTTTTTTCTTTTAAATGATTTAGATGTTTGGACTAGTTTACATTCACATTGACTATTCTTCTAAAACCGTAAAATTATCGATCAGATATAAATTTTAGTGGTTACTCCTATTAAAAAGGGTAAAGACTCTCAAAAGATCATATAAACTTAAATCTTTCTTTACTCTTTTACCATCAAAACACTAAGTAATATTTTATTAACATATTTTTATTATGTTTACTTATAACCCATTTGATAATTTTCATAGCTTATTACAAAGGCTTAAAAAATAGCACAAATTTGATGAAATAGTTGTTGGAATGTACAGAAAATTGAACAAGGGAATGATTTATGAAATTGAGGAGGATAAAACATAAAAACTTGATACAAACAACAAAGAAAGATAAAAATAGAAGATAAAAAAGTGAAAGAGAGGGAGATTTGGAAGTGTGTAAATAAGGAAAGGAGAGAAAGATGCGCGTGGGTCTAATATAAAAGTTTGACAGTTGAGACAATTCTGACCAAACTCTGTAATCGTAAATTTGAGCTCTACTCGTAGTCTTCGGCACAGGGACCCGTCAACTTTATAGTCTGAAACTCTACTCTCTCTTTCTTCTGGGTGCCCAATAGCCAAAGTTTTTTATTTTTCGCTTTGGATAGTCACGTGCTCTCTATGTGACCCAACCAAAGCCATAACAAACAAACAAATACAGTACCATTCTACGCAGAAAAAGCTTACCTCATTCTCTCTAAACAATCACTATTTTCAATTCATTTTTTCGTGAAAGCTCTCTATTTTCTCTCTCTCTTTGTGACCATTTATATAAGCGTAGACCAAACCAGACTAAGCCCATCTCTCTGTTCTCTCTCTCTCTCTCTCTTTAACCTCTGTTACTATGGAAGCTCTCAGCTTTATCAAGTTCTGGAGACCAACCACCACCACCACGACCACCACCAGTGCTTCCGACAAAGAAAACCAAACGTTAAGTTCTAGTGGTAATGGTGATGCTATTGAAGGTTCTAATGTTGTTGTGGGTTCAGATTGTGAATTGGTGGATGAAGGAGATGACTCCTTCTTTGAGTTGGAACTCACTTTATCTGATTTTGACAACAAGAGAAACAACTGCAACAGCGACAACACCCACCAAGGAAACAGTGAAGAACAAGTCCACTATTCAACCAAAACTGCCGGCCATAATGGAGAACTAAAGATTTCATCTTCAAGTGATGTCTTGTCCAAAAGAAAGATCCTCCCAATAGAGCCAACTTCTACATCAAAGCCTCAGTCTCCAATCGCATTGTTAAAATCAGCTCCAAAGCTTCGAGTATCCATCTTCAAGAAATCAAAATCAATGGCGGCAACACTCAGAACAGAGAAAACAGACTCCACAACCACCTCTTCAAAGCAAGAGAAACGAGAAAACAATAAGCTCTTCACCGTCAAATTCAAAGTCGAAGAAATTTCAAATCTTTCAATGTTTACTAGAGCATGCAGTTTGAGAAGAACAAGCAATACAACAAACGACTCATCATCTTCATCGTCATCAAAGAGATTCTCCAAAGATTTGATACAAAAATATTTGAAGCTAATCAAACCATTATATGTCAAAGTCTCGAAAATGAAGAACGAGAAGATGAGATTTTCTGGGCAGTTAACAGAGGCTTCCCCGACATCGTCGCCGGCGACGCTGCCGGTGCATTCTCCGCTGAAGGAGAGGAATACTTCAGGAGGCTTTCGAGCTCTGAATAGGCATCTGGGCAAGAGCAAATCAGCTTCAGCAACAGTTTCATCGCCAGCTAGAAGAGACGACTCTCTGTTACTGCAACATGATGGGATTCAAAGCGCCATTCTTCATTGCAAAAAATCTTTCAACTCATCTAGAGGTATGAATTTTCCTTAATTAGTACATATTATTAATTAATTAAGATAATCCTGAAGCTAGTATATGATATTCCAATTCTTCTTCCTTGGTTTTTTTTTTCAGATTCTTCTTCGTTTTCAAGATCTACAAGTAGTAGTTCTTCACAGGGAACTTTGAGTTACTTATCATCAAAAGGTGAAAAAACCCCTGAAATATTATTAGTTTATTTAGATTTTCCCAAATATTAATTTTACCTTAATGATGTTACTGATACGTCATTTTTATATTCAGATGCTTTTCTGTTTCCAAGATTCAGCAGTGATTCGTCCTATGAGGAAATCATATCAGCCAGAAGATCAAACGATGAACGAATTTAAGCGGGAAAAATACTGTCTTGTCAAATCCAATCGAAAGAAATCCACACCAAAAAAGAAAAGAAAAGAAATTTGTTGCACAGTAGAATTTGATTCGATTTTTATTTTAAATTTTAAATTTTGTGTAATGTAATGAAAATAGAGAAGGGGTAGGTTAGGTAATTAGGGTTGTTGTTGGCGGCATTAAGAAGGGTATGATATGAATCGGGTGTTGTTGCGTGTATAGTGACGGATCATTATGAAAAATTTGAAACCAAATCTTTATTTGGATCTTTTGTTCATGTTTGTGGTCTTCGTTTTCTGCAAATTCAGCATGAGCATATGATGGTATCTTTGAAAGTTACGAGCTTCAACCAACTCCACATCAAAGCTGTGATCATTTCTGATTCTGAATAACTGATATGACTTAACACCTCCACCTTCTCTCTCTTCCATTTCCATTTTCTTGGTTTTTCAACTTTACAAGACAAATATGTTGGTGGGATTTTAGTCTTCTACTGTACCTCTCTGTTTTTTCTTTTTTTTTTTTATAATAATAAGCCAAATGGGTTCATCATGGTTTCAAAACAAGAACCAACTAATTAATCGTATGCCCCATTTTATAATTCCTTTCTTCTGCAACATGTTTCTTTGTCTGGGCAATTTGATAGTTCACCAAACTTAATATTTTTTTTTTTACCATGGAAAGGTTAATTAAACTTAAATGTTACTTGAAATAACATTAATCTCAGAAGAGATAAGTTTGGGTTGAATTTTATTGGAGGTTGAACCGTTGAATTGAAGTCTCCGTTAAAAAAAAAAAAAAAAGTTTGACTAAAAGCTAAAGCTAAAGCTAATGAGAAGGGCATTAGGTTAGAAAAGAACTGTGAAAGTAGAGCCAAAGGGTTTCTTTAAACTCAATAAAATAAATAAATAAAATGTGGAATGGACATATGAATATGATGATCTCTCTCTCAGTAAAATCATTCTGGCAACATTCTGCTTTTGAAAAGTACTTTTGAACGGTAAAAAAAGCATTATATTAGCTCTTGTTTAAAGTCTAATTTTCCATTCAAAAGTGGAAAAGCACTTACAGAAGCTGATGCCCATTCCCATTTTCTCTGCTTTGAATATTCAATTTGCCTCCCCGTTCCTGCCTGGAAACTCCTATAAAAAGCTCTTTTTATTACATTTTTTCAGCAACTCTTCAAAATTAACAACACCCAATTTCAGAATAAACAGAGGATTTCTTATCCTTAAATTTTTTTGAAAGTGATTGAACATGTAGTTATTCTTTTATTTGGAATCTTGTACCTTAACAAAGATGGACATAGTTTGTAATATTTTTGATGGGTTTTAATAAATGCAAGCTGTCGAGGAAGAGAGAGGTGAGACAAAAAATGACAAGAAGCATCATAAACTGTGGAAATTTGAAAAAAAAAAACGACTCATAAATGCGTTTGAAGGGTCTTGTTCTGGTGAACATTCAAACAAAGAATTAACTGGCAAGGCAGCAACATTATATTGACCAAAAATAATGCCAAAATAAATGACCACAAAACATTATGGTCCCGCTCAACCCAAATAAACAGGGCGACCCTCATTTCCAAACAGGGCAAAATCATATGGGTTGCTTGGTGCTTCTTGGAATAGAATCGCATGAGCTTTATGTTCATTGATATTGACAAGGAAGGGAAGCCATTAGAGTTTAGATTTAGATCCAGAAGTTGACTCTTGTCAGAACCCATTTTTTCTTTTTTCTTTATTTCAACTATTTCACAAAGAATATCTGTTTATTGCACCGCCATCAAGAGGCAAGCTGACCCAAAGAAGATGGTGAGAGCAACAAGTGTCAAAATATATGAAGAAATAAATGCAATGTACAATTAGGAGACAAAATGAAAACAAAGACCAGTAACCATGTTTTAATTCGAGGAACTTAAATTTGTACACGTTTCCTCTCTGGATAAGAAAGTTGTTTCAAGTATTAGAAGGTAGTTTATGTGGGGTAATATTCCAACAAGGACTTAGTTGTTGGAGAAATTTATGCATGATATATTGGGTGAGTTCAGTGGATCTAGTGTTAGATTTGACGGTCAGTTAGTAATAAATGGTGTTGAAACCTAGATGTGTATAATGCAGTAATTATGGTACACGACAAAAGCAGAAGAGTTAGGTATTAAAGATTATTAACGTTTAGGGAGCAGAACACAAAGTTTTTGTGCAGTGTGCTCGCTACTTAAAGCACAAACATTAATACTAGTTTTAATTAACTGCACAATAATCAACAAAGAAAGGATAAAACAGTTTCTGTCAATGAAAGCTGAAGAAAATTAAATTGATGCTGCGTTTTGCCGCATAATTAAGGTAAACTGGCTTATTGTGTGGCCTAATTTATGGCCCAATTATCATGTTGGTCCTTTGGGTCATAAAGTAGTGGACATGGGTCAGGTACATTTACTAATCCAATTAGGCAACCAGTAAAATGGTCAGGCCCAATTATCATCTTTTGTAGTTCATCAATCGTGTATTTATATTCAAGCCCCACCAAATCTCTTTTTAAGCCCCATTATTAGTTTTAAAAAATTAATATATAAATTATATTTTAAAAGTCATAAAAATTAATAATGTAGATTAAAAAGGGTTTAGGTGGGATTTGAATAACAACATTGTTATTAATAATTAGTTGGAATTGAAAATGAGTGTATATTATTTTAAGATTTAATTTAATGGCTTAGATCAAACAAATTGCTATTATTTATTGCAAGAGCACTTCAATCAGATAGAAGAAAATATGATTATTTAAGTTATGTGCTAATATTTATATTGAATGAAGAAAATAACATATTTTTTTAAAATCCAATACTTCAACTGTGGAGGCAAGTTTCATGCTATTAACTTCAGTATCAGCTTATATATAGTGCATGTTTTATAATTAAAAAATAAAAGAAAAAAGAAAATGAAATATGTCTTAGGGTGTGTTTGTTTTTTCCATTTAAATTTTAAATTTAATTAGAATTAGAGTTTTGATCAATTTTTTGTTTTTTTTTTTCAAATTGTTACTTATTTTTAGAACTTTTCACTTAATAGAAAAAATAAAATTTTCCAACTTATTTATAAAATCTGAAAGCTTTTTATATATACATAACTTTAGCTACCTAAAATGCTCTTATATTATAATAAATTTAAATTTAAATAAAATGTTAAAATCCGACTGTTAATTTATTTCATTTAAAATAATTTAAAACTACATTATCTTATTAAATAATAAATGCCGTTTGAAATTTATTTGGTGAGCTTTGGTAACGAAATTGGTATCAAAATGATCATATTTCAATACTTTGTCCATCTCTACAGTTTTTTATTTTTGTTATCAATAGATGTGTCATTTAGTCGGGATCTTACAGAGAAAGTTCGGTTGCCGCATTTTCTCCGTCAAATCCTAGCTAAAAGCTACATTTTGTGCAATTGAAATTTATATCAAAAAAAATTTCAATCACCTACCGGCAGTGGATTCCAGCGATGTGATTTTGGTAACCAGTTGACCAAAATTCATTTCTATAATATATTATAAAATACAATAAGGGCATATTAGTATAAATATTAAAAAAAAATTATTTAGATTTGGTTAATTTAAAAAAATAAACGCTATCATGTATTAAGTGTGTGGTAGTGGTACCACTTATTTCTATCCAGTGTTTAGAATTTAAAAAAGAAAAGAAAAAGAAAAGACCCTTATTTCATATGAAAAAAGAAAGGGGGGTGGACAGAGAGCTTTGATTGTTCTATTTTCCTTGTAAAAGGGTCATATTCAATAATGGTTCTTCTCGCTATATTATTTTTATCTTTTTCAATAATCTCTATTTGGTATTCTAACAACACTCCCAACTTTGTTCTTTAATTTAAGTTGAGTTTGGGACTTTGATTTGAGTGGTTGAGTTTTAAAATTTTATAGGGTTTGAATTAATATATATAAATCTTATTAAGTGATGCCAATAAACAGTTTATCAATATCATCAAATATGAATTTAGATTTTAAATAACTTCCTAAATAGAAACTGTATTTATAACAAAATAGTTTAAAAAATATGCCTTTTATGTTACTCTTAATGACTTGATCTATGGTATGGTATTTCTTGGATGATTTAGGCCTTAGGCATAATGATATTAGTTTTTGAAACTTTAAGGTTTTAATTAACAAAAGCTCGGGGGTGGCAAGAAAATGCTTATTTTTAGTGTTATGTGTTGTCTAGTGCTAGTTTTGCAAAGCTGAAGTACTGAAGTGTCAAATCTGTAAAACTTAAGGACTAGTTTGTAAGTATCAAGAAACGGTGTCGTTTCACACCTTGTTGTAAAATACAACTTCGTCACTATCCACTTACTCTTTTCACTCTCTCTCAACTGTAAATGTACTGTTTGTATAAAATAGTGAAGAGTTGACTTGTAATTCATTCAATTAAGAAAAGAAATACACAAACACTAAATTCTTTCTAGATTTTTCACGGTTTTTTTCTATGTTTCACATGATATCAGAGCCCGAGACTTGCGTCAATGGCTTCTAATTCCAGCTTCAATCAAGATCTGAACAACATGGAGAGAGGAGCTAACAGCTTTACCGATTCGTTCTTTTCAGCCTTTCCGTCGAGTCTCCAGGTGGTTAATCCGAAGTTAACCAGAGACAACTATCACAACAACTACAGGTTTTGGAGATCTCAAGTTCTCTTCGCCGTAGGTGCGCATGACCTTAAAAACCATTTAACAGGTCGAATTTTTTGTCCCGCGTCTTTAATTGATTGTGATGCTGAAAATTCCTCAACTACAGAAGTAGGGCTGTAAACGAGCCAAGTTGAGCCAAGTATCACCCTAAATAAGCCTGACTCGGTTAAGCATTAAACGAGTTCGAGCCAAATCACAAGTCAGTTGAGTTAGGAAAATTTGACTCGTGACTCAACTCGTTTATAATCGAGCCTGCTCATGACTCGACTTGAAAAACTTGATTATGACTTGATTAACTCGAGCTCGAACTGGCTCGATTATGGCTCGTTTGGCCCATTTTTTATATAACTTGCAAATCTTGTTTTATACAAATCAGATCCAATTTTTGGTGAATTTGCATCCAAATCAACACATCAACAATGTATTACACAACAAAATTTTAAATCCTAAAACTTTAATTGGGGTTTGGGTTAATTTGCAACATTTTAAAACTTTTACATGTCAAATTACAAGACAAACCTAAAACTTTTATTTTTTGTAGAAAAACCCTAAACGAGCCACTATTGACTCGCA